GGGGGGGACGGGGGGAGCGCAGGCAGTCATTAGGGCACAAGCAGACCTGATTCTTGTTACCATGAGAGCCGGAGCTGCTCGGAATCGCCGCTTGACTTCAGCGAGGGGATTAAAGAGAGACTTCCGAGCGCGGCGGACATCTCGGCGGCAGGTTTTGGACCTTAATTGGCGCCAGCGGGAGCATCCGGCTGCTGTTCCACTTCACCGTGCAGATAGATCGGGGGAGGTGGTCACTGGTTGTGAGGTCCAAATGGGGGAGGGTTAAAAAGGGGGTGCAGGATTGGGATGTAAATGCCTTTATTATAATGTTATATTCCAACCTTCTAAACCAGGGATAGTCAACTTACAGGGGGCCTCATGTTTGGCCCCTGACATCATTAAAGGGCCACTTATAATATTCATTGAATGTGATGCTATAGATAGCTGTCAGGGACTGCAGACATCCAACAGGAGATGGTCAGAGAGTTCCCCCGGGCCGCAGGTTGGCCACCGATGACAGCTCCTGGTGGTTGGAGATGCTCATTACCGTGCAGAGAAGTCAGCTTGTTAGCGTGTACCTGCGAGCGGGCCCCTTGGGTAAAGATACCGCGTCGGTGTCAGCCACGTGCCAGGGTGGAAGCAGAACGCATGAGGTTCGGGAGGAATCTCCCCACCTGCCAACAACGACATATCTGCCTATCTGCGGTCATCATGATGGAGATGCGTGGAAGCCTTACAATGGAAACGGGTCGCAGCATTTGTCATCAGAATATTTTAAGGCCGTGAACAAAAATAAAGTTGGTGCCGGCCGGCTGCGTCTCACCGGCGTGTCCTGTCTGTTGTCTGTCCCTTGCAGGAAGCTGCGGCTGGAGAAGGAGCTGGCGGCCGAGCTGTGGAAGGTCCGTTGGGAGGACATCCAGACCAGCAACATGGAGAAGAACCTGCGCCGAGCCGGCAGCAAACTCACACTGTCATTGGTAACTGCTCCAGGCGCACAACCCTGCCCGTCCACACTGCCCACGGGTCTTAGGTGTGGCGGCTGACCCCCCACTGAGACCGCCGGCGGCCAAAGCAGTAACCTCGTTCCCTGCATGTAGGGTGCTGGCCAATCAGTAGCCTCCTTTGGGCTTCGTTAAAATGTAGCTGCAGGCAACAAGTGAAATAATGAACAGAACAGCTGAAGCCAGGAAGTCCTCCGATCCTCAGTGGACTGTTAGCTGAGTGTTCTATACCACAGCCATATTCAGCAGGCTTTTTATAGTTCTTCTGGACTGGACTGCACACTCTATCCCTATGATTTTGTATGTGTGCACGAGGTTAAGGTGGGCCCAAGAGTGAAGGCGGGGCTGAAACCACAGAACACACAGGCTGTATATTCAGAATACATTTTGTGCTAGTTCTAGGCTAGAGTCATTTTAATGCCTGGTCTCCTTTGGTATGAGGTCTACCAGACTGGAATGGTCAACCAGGATATGAGGAACTGTTGAGGTTCTTCAGAAAGTTTTGAGAACGGAGGGCTGTAGGAGAGAAATGGGTTGTTGTTTTTTGCTTTTTGATCTCTGGAGTCCTAGAAGTCAGTGCTGTGCCCATCTTTGCCCTGTCTACTTCTCCACTAATGTACCCTCATAGAGACATTTGTAGACCACACGAGGACCTCAGGACTAGACCCGTGCCTGTACTCTGTCCTATTACACAGAAGATCTTTGTGTTTCCATGTCTGTACATCATCTGTGATAACTTCATCAACAACTTCATTATTCACTTAAGGTCATTCTGACATGTATTCAGACTAAACCCTAATTTCCACTTCGTAATTTGTCCTCATTACCATTTGTATAATTGATGATCTTCACTCATGATGGTTCTATCCACCCCAAGGTCACCTCAAGTCTTTTCTTCAGATCTCTTTGTCTTTCCATCCCTTAGTTTCCCTCAACCATTGTATATACCTCCACCCAGCCACTTCATGGACTTCTCCTTTCCTCCTCTGCTGTCCTGATTCAAGCCTCCTTTCTTAGATCTCTCTGTCTCTCAGTCTTCTCTGGTTCTGTCTTGGTTTCTTGGCCTTTTTACCTTCAAACATTCTTCCAAGCCACTTCATGGAGTTCTCCATTCCTTCTCTGCTGTCCTGTTAAAAGCCTTCTTTCTCAGGTGTCTTTGTCTTTCCATCCTCTCGGTTCTGCCTTGGTTTTTTAGCCTCCTACTCTAAAGCACATTCTTCCGCCCAGCCTCTTTGTGGACTTCTCCATTCCTGCTCTGCTGTCCTGTTTCAAGCCTTCTTTATTAGATCTCTCTGTCTTGTTTTATTGGCCTCTTACCCTCAACCATTCCATATAACTCCTCCCAACCACTTAATGGACTTATCCATTCGTCCTCTGCTGTCCTCTTTCAAGCCTTTTTTCTTAGATCTCTCTGTCTTTCCATCTTCTCCAGTTTTGTCTTCATTTCTACGCCTCTTACCCTTAACCATTTCTTATACCTCCTTCCAGCTACTGATTGGACTTGTCCATTCCTCCTCTGCTGTCCTGTTTCAAGCTTTCTTTCTCGGATCTCTCTGTCTTTCTGTCTTCTACGGTTCTGTCTTGGTCTCTCGGCCTCTTACCCCCAACTATCCACATACCCCCTTCCAGCCACTTCATTCCTCCTCTGCTGTCCTTTTTCAAACCTTCTTTCTTAGATCGCTCTATCTTTTGGTCTTCTTGGCTCTGCCTTGGTTTCTCAGCCGCTTACCCTCAACCGTTCCATATACCTCCTCCCAACCACTTAATGGACTTCTTCATTTCTCCTCTGCTGTCCTGATTCACCTGGTTCTGTCTTGGTTTCCCCTCAAACATTCCACATATCCCCTTCTAGCCACGTCATGGACTTCTTCATTCCTCCTCTGCTGTCTTTTTTCAAAGCTTCTTTCTCAGATCCCTGTCTGTCTTCTCCGGTTCTGTCTTTGCTTCTCAGTCACCTACCCTCAACTATCCCACATCCCTCCTCCTGGCCACTTCTTGGACTTCTCCATTCTCCTCTACTGTCCTGATTCATCTGGTTCTGTCTTGGTTTCTTAGCCTCTTACCCTCAACCGTTCCATATACCTCCTCCTGGCCACTTCATGGACTTCTCCATTCTTCTCTGCTGTCCTGTTTCTGTCCATTGCTTGGATATCTTCTCGCTTGCCGATCTGACAAAAAGCAGAAGACCTCTCTGTCCATCAGCTCATGAATTTTTGATTTTGGAAGGGCCCGTGTATGGTGGAACCTGAGGCCAACATCCCATAAATTCAAAGAGCCACCTTAATAAAGAGACACAATTGTGACTACCCACCAAACTCTCCAACTTGGTTGAATT